CTCTGGTATTTCACAGGCGTCAGAATACGACGACCCCCCCGGCCTCAGGGAGAAGGCCGAGTACCTCCTGAGGGAATGGGTCAACCTGTACCACTCGGCCGCCGCCGGCCGGGATAGCACCAAAGCTTTCTCCGCCTTCGTTGGCCAGGTGAACACTCATTCATCAGGATCCAAGGTCCGGCGCGCAGGACCCCCCCCTCGCACCTCCGTGTTGATCTCCTCCGTCTCCTTTTTCTTTGCAGATGCACCAGCAGGGCATCCTGAAGACCGACGACCTGATAACGAGGTTCTTCCGGCTGTGCACAGAGATGTGCGTGGAGATAAGCTACCGGGCGCAGGCTGAGCAGCAGCACAACCCGGCGGCCAGCGCCGCCATCATCCGCGCCAAGTGCTACCACAACCTGGACGCCTTCGTCAGGCTCATTGCCCTGCTGGTCAAACACTCTGGAGAGGCCACCAACACAGTGACGAAAATCAACCTCCTCAACAAGGTACCGCATCGCCTGTGACGGTTCAAAGTAGAAACTCTCATGGTGGGACGCTCTGGTGTGGCCACGAAGCGCTTCAATGATGTCTTCAAAGATGTCTAGGAAAATTGCTGATTTGGAAGTTTAGAAAGTTTAAATAATTAATTCATCTCCTTGGTTAAATGAAATGAATCCCTCTTCAAATCAAGTCCTTCTGAAAAGCCTGATAACATCTGATTATTATAGAAATGCTCCTCTGTAGACGACATTAGACCGGCTGGCTCACTTCATTTTGCTTGCGCTCGTAGGTGCTGGGTATCGTAGTGGGGGTTCTGATTCAGGACCACGACGTCCGTCAGACCGAATTCCAACAGCTGCCGTACCACCGCATTTTCATCATGCTGCTGCTGGAGCTAAACGCTCCCGAACACGTTCTGGAGACCATCAACTTCCAGACGCTCACCGCCTTCTGGTAGGACGTCCTCGCGCTGAGCGGCCCCCTCCAGCAGGAAGAGGCTCGCCTAGTGCCGAGAATGAATCCGTTCTTTTAAAAAACGTTTCTGTCCATATGTTTGCGACACATTGGTTTGGCCTCATCTCGCTCCCCCTTCCTCCTCATGTGCAGCAATACCTTCCACATCCTGAGACCCACCAAAGCGCCCGGCTTTGTGTACGCCTGGCTGGAGCTCATCTCCCATCGCATCTTCATCGCCAGGATGCTAGCGCACACGCCGCAGCAGAAGGTATGTATGGAAGCATAAGACTATCGAAGACTCGTTCATTCTTTGACTACCTCACGTTTCCATCTGGTTGATGTCGACTCTTTCCCCCCCCCATGATTTTTTTTATTTTTATTTAACCTTTTGGTAAAACGGACTGTTTCCTTTCCAGGGTTGGCCGATGTACGCACAGCTGCTGATCGATCTCTTTAAGTACCTGGCCCCTTTCCTGAGGAATGTAGAGCTCAACAAACCTATGCAAATCCTCTATAAGGTGCGCCCTTGTTTTTTCCTTAATCCTTTCCTTAAAGTTTTCTTGTTGGGTTTTGCAACCCAAACTTAAAAAAGCCTGTTTGCTCTGGTAATTTGGTGATTATGTTCTGCCTCCAGGGCACGCTGCGAGTTCTCCTGGTCCTCCTGCACGACTTCCCAGAGTTCCTGTGTGACTACCACTACGGCTTCTGTGACGTCATCCCGCCCAACTGCATCCAGCTCCGCAACCTCATCCTCAGTGCCTTCCCACGCAACATGAGGCTCCCTGACCCCTTCACACCCAACCTCAAGGTACACACACCGCTGATTACACACTCTGAGGTTCACTAGTGCAGCTTGGATCAGCAGAAGCTATGAGCTTTGGTTGGACCGACCAAAGGATGTCCTGAATGTGTGTTTTATTTGCTCCAGGTGGACATGCTGAGTGAGATCAACATCGCGCCCCGCATCCTCACCAACTTCACGGGCGTGATGCCTTCCCAGTTTAAGAAGGACCTGGACTCCTATCTGAAGACCCGCTCACCAGTCACCTTCTTGTCAGAGCTGCGCAGCAACCTGCAGGTCAGCGCCGCCTCGACCTGTTTTTTAAAACAGCCTTTGTCAAAAGCCCAATTTTAGCTAAATTTGTAATCTCCGTCTCACAGGTGTCCAACGAGCCCGGGAATCGCTACAACATCCAGCTGATCAATGCGTTAGTGTTGTATGTAGGCACACAGGCCATCGCTCACATCCACAACAAGGGCAGCACCCCCTCCATGAGCACGATCACCCACTCTGCGCACATGGACATCTTCCAGAACCTTGCCGTGGACCTGGACACGGAGGGTAAGTTGGTGCTGCACAAACTGCAGCCACTCAGTCAGTTGCTGCCAAAATAAGTGTCGGGCCACAAATGGTTTCACAACGCATGAGCTGCATATTGTGGGGGGTTTTTGCAACAACTCCGCTGTGTTTCCAGGACGTTACCTGTTCTTGAACGCAATCGCCAACCAGCTGCGGTACCCAAACAGCCACACCCACTACTTCAGCTGCACCATGCTCTATCTGTTCGCCGAGGCCAACACCGAGGCCATCCAGGAGCAGATCACCAGGTGAGCCAACGTCTAGAGTTCGGGGGTCTTTAGGGCGGGGGGGGGGTGCCGTTGCGAGTGCCGTTGGTTCAAGCTTTCTGTCTCCTCCAGGGTTCTGTTGGAGAGGCTGATTGTGAACAGGCCCCACCCGTGGGGTCTCCTCATCACCTTCATTGAGCTGATCAAGAACCCCGCCTTCAAGTTCTGGAGCCACGACTTTGTGCACTGTGCTCCCGAGATTGAGAAGTAGGTTTCCACCTAAATGATGGCCGGTATGATGAATGAAGGATGGCGGTAATGTATTTGGCCGGTCCTGCTCCTCTTACTCGGATTGTCCTTCTCCTTCCGCTTAGGCTGTTCCAGTCAGTGGCCCAGTGCTGCATGGGACAGAAGCAGGCCCAGCAGGTGATGGAGGGCACCAGTGCCAGCTAGCCTGTGCACCAGCCAGCTCGTAGCGCGCGGGAGAGATGCCCCGAGGCCTTGACTCACTCCCCCACCACACACACACACACACACACACACACACACCTTCCCCTCTGCTGTCGGCACTGGATAAACTGGCCACCACAGTCATTTTGAGATGTGGATGAAATGACTACTGCTCCCGGATCTAAAGATTTAGATTTTTGGTTGATCCCTTTGGGGCTGAATTCTGATGGAGAGGACTGATTGGGACATGCTGTTTAATATACTTTTTTTTATTTTTATTTTGTTGATGTAAATATTGAGGGGAAAAAAGGGAGAACGGGCGAGGGTAGATGCGTGGAGAGCAATGCACATGTCAAATAAATGCATCATGACATGAAACATATTTTCACTCACTACCAAAGTCCCTGGTTTGCTTCCCTCCCACACAAACCTTTTTTTTCTGACTTTTTGTTTTTTTGTTACATTCGAGGCTGAATGGTAGATAATTAAAGAAAGAGAAAAAAAGAAAAAAAGAAAAAAAAAAAGCTGCCTGCTACTTTCATTTGATCCCTTTTTATCCTTGAGTGGGACAGGAAGATGAAGTTAAATCTCCCAGGTGGGGGAGCGGGGTTCTACTCCGGGCGTGTCGGTGGAGACCGTTTGCTGATGGTTTGTCCATTTTGCAACTGGCTCTGGAAGTCTCTCCCTGGCATTTGTAAATTGTGCAAAGTGATGGCGACGTTGTAACTTGACGATTTGTACAAAGATCCAAATTGAAGAACAATAGAAGGACCAATACAGCCATTTTGTAACATTTTGAATGTTTTGTAAATGTATTGGTCCATGTGTTGTATTTTGTAGTCCTTTCTAGTTTGCCTTTAGTTCTTGCTACTTAACTGCAGTATGCATACATACAGTAAATAAAGCATTCAAACTGCAAGCCATCTGTGTTCATTCAGTTCTACTTAGTTATTTTATGCTCTTCATCTATACATATATGATCATATACATTGTTAAGAACATTCTTTGTTCATCGACGTTCTAATCAAGGTTTAAATGCTTTTCATCACAATGTGTATGCCTACTTTTTAAATGCTGTTTGTTTTTATTACGAAAAGTAAAATGCTTTGTTGGGTTCATCCGTGATTAAAGGATTTGAATAGAAAATGTCAAAGTGCAACAGATTATTAAACGCTGTATTACCAAAAAAGATAGGAGCCAATTGCTTATATGGAGAATTTTTTTTTTTCCTTTTGCATCATTTGTGTTGATTTTGGCTGATGCACTTGTTTCTTCGCTATTCTCCCCATCTATGAGCTGTAAACCATCAAGTTAAAATAATTTCTAGTGTTTTACGTTGTCATTTAGCCGACGCTTTTATCCAAAGCGGCTTACAATGAGTGCATTCAACCATAGGGTACAAACGGAACAAGAAACGAGTGCCGTTACAAGTACAATTTAAGTCAAGGCTCTCTGCGCTCCTGGTGTCCTCAGAGAGCTCGTGCCACCATTTCGGAGCAAGGACGGCAAAGAGTGGTGATCTAGTGGAGTGTTTTGCTCTCCGTGAGGGAGGGACGAGCAGTTTTGCGGACGCAGAGCGGGTCGGGATGTCTGGTTCGACCCGCTCCGTTCGCAGCGTGGTGCGTGAGCACCATTGTTTTGAACTGGATGCGGGCAGCGTTCGATTATGAGACATTTTATTTCCAACACCGGTTCCAAATGTCTTATCTAATGTTCCTTCAAACCACTTTCATTTTCCTCAAAGTACCTTGAAATACACGTTGCCCTCATCGAATTACTTTGGCTTAATGTAACTGAACATCCAGCGTAACCTGACAAAAGATCTGAAGCAGCTTTTCTGAATACTGGCGGCTTACGGTGGTCTATAAAACTTAATTTCAGTGGTTAAAGTTAAACTGTAACAAGCGTACAGGCCTGATGGCGGATTCTCACACTGATCCGTTGACTGTTTTTTTAAAGGAACAGTCTGCTCATGCGTCTACTTCTAGAGACAAAATGTAATTTGCAGGACTCTCAGGTGTTTTGTAAATGAATGAATCATCTTGAGGAAAAAAAACATTTATTGCCAGTGATTCTAAACATTTTGGTTTCAAGCATTCAGATTTAAAAAGTGCTGCGGAGCCGGAGTCACGAGCCAGTGAGCTCCATCAGTCTGTGCAGGATGCTCTTCTGCCCACAGCGCACCTGCAGGGCGTTCCGCCGCCTGCTGCTCAGTCCTGCAAACGCCACCCTGTCCTCCATCAGCTCCTGGTCGCTCTTCCCGCCCGGCGCCTCTTCCCCGTAGGACCGCAGAGTCAGACGTGCGGCCCCGTGGATGAGCCACTTCCACGAAGCCTTCAATCCGGAGAGACCCTCGTTAGAGAAGGAAAGGGAAATGTCCTCGTCCTCATCTTCCTCCCACCCTTCATTGTCCTTAAACTCGGAGAACTCCTCCTCTGACATGCACAGCACCTGAAAACACACAAAGCCGGCGTTGTTACTGCATGCGTATTTTACGCAGCGCGCAAAGCAAGCTGAAGGCATTTCCGTTTCAAAACGGGCCCTTGCCGTCCTCCCGTCTCACCTTGAGCGCACTGTGTAGCTCGAAGTCTGTAAGGCAGCCCTGTTTCCCAAAGACGAAGGCTTCCTTCCCTCGCATCACCTGACACAGCACCTCCTGCTTCTCCTCCACCAGCTGCTGTTCCAGTCCGGACTGGACACCTGCGGGGAGAAGAGGAAGATGAGGAAGGCACGGTGGAGAGGAAGCTTGTATTTGGGTTCAAATCAAACTATTAAATCAGTTTTGTTTTGTTTCCGCTGTCTCTCGTCGCGCTGCAGTTTCGTCAACTCTCGACCTTGTGCGGCGACCTTGCAGAAGTTGCCGACGGGGATGTCGGCGGTGTCGTCGCGGTTGTCCCGGTGAGGCTCCGTGAAGCCGTACATGTGCAGCAGCTGCCAGTTGGCCATCTGCCCGTAGGTGTTGAACACTTCTTCGCCTCTGCGTATCGGCCGCACGCAAACCATCTTCAGACTGTCCTGAGAGAGAGGAGAGCAGTCAACTCAACAGAGGGAAAAAATCCAGATGTTTGGGACGTCGCTAGTAGTGGAGAGGTGGTCTCACCGGTGTAAACTCCAGATTTGCATTGTGATTGGACACATGGTTAAGCATGTCGGCCATGGGAACCATCATCGGTGGGTTTGGAGCCTTTTCCTCCTCCTCCTCCTCGTCCTCCTCCTCGTCCTCGTCTTCACTACCCTCCTCTTCGTCTGGCTCTTGGAAACTACAGAGAGGAGGATCTGGGTGAACTCACGGAGGGACGTAAAGAGCATCAAGACTCTGGATGTGTTGGCCGGACGCCCGCCAACCTGTAGGCCATGACGAAGGCCACCAGCTGGGTGTACAGCTCCAGCGTGTGAGTGTCAGCGTCCCACAGGTCGGGGTGCTTGGCGACGAAGGGAAGGACCACGTCCGTGTATTCCCTCTGAATGTTAGCCAGGTCGGCGTCCACAGCCTCCGGAACACCCGTTGCCCTCAACAGTCGGTGTCTCTCCTCCTTAGACCTGAAAGAATGAGCCACAAATGACTACAAAAGGAAGCCGGAAAGCCACACGTCATCAACAGGACATTCGGGGGAAGGAGTGGTCCTGAGGTTGGCCCGGCTTTTAACTGATCCAGGATGAAATATGGTCCTTGCCAGAACATGGGGTGGTCCAGTGTTTTGAAGTCTGTCCACAGAGAGAGGTAAGGTCTCCAACGGGACTGCGGGGACGTGTATTCGTAGAGCAGAGCCAGCAGCAGGGGGACCCAGCCGGACGGGCTCTGCAGGGAGGACCTCTCTGTGGAGGGAATCGGGAGAAAACGGGTCAACACAAGAACTTCCAGCGACTCCAGCGAAGGACTCTTCCTTCACCTTTCTCCAGCAGGACGGAGACCTCGGTGGTGTCCTGGTGGAGGAGCGCCGATCTGGGGACGGTGAATAAAACCTCTCCCTCCTCAATGTTGTCCGTGGCCAGCATCCCAAACTCTGCCACGGTTCCCTCTTTGCTCACGCGCACCTACAGGGGGACGGTGAGGTTATGAAGAAGAGGAGAAACCGGGGGCGTCTTCCTTAAAAGGCGTCTTGACAAATACTCACACACGGCAGGAACAACCAAATAAACATGTTCATTTGTTGATTCATATTCACACCTTGTCGCAGAGAACCAAGCCGACTGTTTTGCACCACTGCAGGAAGTCCGGCAGCGGATTCATCTCTGGACCGTCACCGATCTGTCGATAACAATCAGACATCGATAACAAACAATCAGACATCGATAACAATCAGAAATCGATAACAAACAAACATCGATAACAAACAAACATCGATAACAATCAGACATCGACAACAATCAGACATCGACAACAATCAGACATCGACAACAAGCAGACATCGACAACAAACATCGATAACAATCAGACATCGATAACAATCAGACATCGATAACAATCAGACATCGATAACAAACAAACATCGATAACAATAAGACATTGTTAACAAACAAACATCGATTACAATCAGACATCGACAACAAACAAACATCAGTAACAATCAGACATCGATAACAATCAGACATCGATAACAAACAGACATCGATAACAATCAGACATCGATAACAATCAAACATCGATAACAATCAAACATCGATAACAATCAGACATCGATAACAAACAGACATCGATAACAATCAGACATCGATAACAATCAAACATCGATAACAATCAAACATCGATAACAATCAGACATCGATAACAATCAGACATCGATAACAAACAAACATCGATAACAATCAGACATCGACAACAATCAGACATCGATAACAATCAGACATCGATAACAATCAGACATCGATAACAAACAAACATCGATAACAAACAAACATCGATAACAAACAGACATCGATAACAAACAAACATCGATAACAAACAGACATCGATAACAAACAAACATCGATAACAAACAGACATCGATAACAAACAAACATCGATAACAAACAAACATCGATAACAATCAGACATCGATAACAAACAAACATCGATAACAATCAGACATCGATAACAATCAGACATCGATAACAGCGGTGCAGACTCTTGGCTGGTAACTTGAGCTCCGTCAGCCTGTCTCCAACTTCTCACCACGTAGCTTAGCTTAGCTTAGCTTAGCTTAGCACAGGAGCAACGGCGCGTGAGCCTCACTGACGTGCAGTGAGTTCAGTGTGAACCGTAACACGGACCCGCTGTACCGAATGATTTTTGTTTGTTATTGTTATTAAAATCGTAACCTTAGGTCGTTTCGCGTGGGAAGCCATCCGGTTAGCGTGGCGGGGCGTCGGGTCTCCGCGGGGAGGTTCAACGAAGAGCCGGACCGCGGCGGGGAAAAGGGGTTTAATTTGACCTAAGTGTTGACTCGCAGGACAACAGCGTCTACGCGACACGTGGCTTTTACCGTGTTTAGGAACCGACTCGCAACGCTCACGCTCGTAGAACTCGAGGCAAGTTCTTGTAAAAGTCTTTAAGGGCTTTAAGTCCAAATAGTCTGGTGCCTAAGGGCTCTCCCGCAGTTTGACTCCTTGGTGGAGGCGTTCTGTAAGTCTCTCCCCGGGGCGAAATTACCCAATCTTTATCAGGATGAGATGGTAAACACGCGGCTACGACCGGAGACCCGGAAGCATAAAAAAGCCCAACCAAGAATATATTTTCCCATTAATAACCGGCGAAATCGAGACATTTTAACTAACACGCCGCAGGAGAAACCAAAGATCATAGAAAATATAGACCGAAACCAAGGCGGACGTTGTGCAAAGAGAAAAAGGGGACACAAAAGCGCAAACTCTGGTTGTGACTGACAGAAACAAAGAAGATGATACATTTAGCGCGGAATTGTGATGTTACATCAAAACAAATGAATGGGTGACATTAGAACAGGCCCGGTATTGAATTACTTTTGTACTACTACATCAGGTTTTATTTAAAGTGCCCACATTTATAATTTCAAAAATTGTCAATGAGAAAGGGTAAAACATTCAATGTAACATGCAACTGCAGAGGATACATACAAAGATAGTTATAAGAAAGCTAAATACATGTAAACATGTCTAAATGTATTTATTATAAAAAATATGTGACACTAATTAAATAATAATAAAGACACAAGTAGTTTTTCCTTATATTAAATTGGAGAATCAAGGTAGCATCACGATCCACGTGTCATCAAAAGTATTCTAATAATGTATTATTATTATTATTATTATTCTAATAATTCGTGAAAAAGAAATGTGTTCTCAAAGTATGATGAGGTAAGTCTTTGAAATGTTAACTAGGACTCACGTTGAACAGTCAAATCTGCTTTCAACGTCCAACATGACAACCCAACACTTGACTGTGTGCATGTTTACCCACATAGTCAAGTGTATTTACTACCACACTGTCAGTGATTACAGTAAGCCTACTCTTAGCTAACAACATGCACAATACGGTTTATAATCTAATTATACACCTAATTTCCAAACCACAGCCTAAAGCCACTCGGTTCCTCTGTCATTTTAATAGTATATAACAACTTTAGTAGCTCTCAAGCGTTATAAAATTATTAGATATTACATTTCAATATAAAAAGGCTGTCATGCAGTGAGTTTGCTTCACATAGACATATTTGCTGCACAAACAAAAAAGGGGCATTTAAAACTAACTGAGCATCTTCAGTGACATGATGAATTGTTTAAATTTTCATGTCAATGGAGATGAAACATACAAATCCAAGTGACCATAATCCGGGCAAAAAAATCAAGAGCCTAATACCAGAACTAATCTAAAATACAGATTATAGTCTTGTTGAATACATATAAAATATAAAATGTAAAAAATGTTGCAGCTGCAGCAGTTACCACACGGTCCACTGACCACCTCGATTGAGGTCATAGAAAAAAAATAATTTAATTAAATAAAACCCACCAAACTTGACATACAATTGAACAAATTCTACTTTGGAAGAAAAGAAAGTTTTGTTTAGCTATTGTTTGAGCACACAGGCCGATAGAAAACAATGGAAAGAGCGAGACAAATAACACAAAAAAACCCCCAAATATGTGATATTGCGACTTAAAGTGTGTTTGAGTGAGGCCGCCTCACACATATGAGCTACGCGTCACATTTTACAGATAATAACCTCGGATGCACCGTGAAGGATCAGACGTTCCCGAGAAGCACAAGTGCTGAATGGTAAATTAAACATTGACCAGCAGGTGGAGCTCTTTGACATAACTTTCTGCAAAATGCCACATCGACACACCAAATTGATTTTTTGTGGGATACACCAGGAAGGTTTTTCAAGGCTCGTTGGTCTAGGGGTATGATTCTCGCTTAGGGTGCGAGAGGTCCCGGGTTCAAATCCCGGACGAGCCCTTACTTTTCAATTCATCTTATTTTGTGTAGCCCAAAATCGCAAATTACAAATTTGCACATGCGACATCCTCTGTCCAGAAAACACTCAAATCGGCACACGAACCCCCCCCCAAAAAATAAGAACAACACTGATGGTGGAAAAAAAGAAACCTCAGGGTGAACAGTAGAGATTGGGCTCCTCTGCTGGGACGGACCTCAATGAATGTCATGTGTACAAAATGAACAACGTAAAAGATTTACATCACATTGAATTCCTACGACATAAAAACCTTAAAATAATGTTAATCACAGGTTACACACCGATGTGAAATGGAGGGAAACCTTGACATCCATTGAATCTTGATGACTTTTTTTGGCATCAGCCAGCATGTCCCTCTAAAGACCAGGGGGTACGGCACAAAAGTAGAATAAAGAAATCCAGGATAAGTGGAAAAGTGCAGCTTGACTTACTGTGTTTGGCGCATCGTGGCCTAATCGGTTGCACGTTTGCAGAGCCAGGATGAGAAGGTGGAGCGAAATCAATCCAGATGTACACAGCTGGAATAACTGCGCGTCCCACGGGTTTCTTAAATAGACCACGGTATCGATCACAGATTTACTGATGAAATGGAGAAGACGCGCACGGCATATTTTTCACCGGCTGAGCAGCAACTAATTATGGAAACTCATAGAGCTGCAAACTTAAAAAAAAAAAACCTTTCGGTGAGATTTTGTCGGGAGTGACCAAAATTTTACCGCGCATATCCTAAAGAACTGATTCTGATTCATCTGTAGGGCCTTCTAGACTTGAGCTGAACCTTCAGACAACTATTGTTGTGCCTCGATCACTGTCTATGTGCCACAATGTGGCCTAATTATTAGACCTGTGTTTGAGATTTGACCCAGGTAGGTTTATTGACAATGGTATTCAACCAATTCTTAACTGAAACCAATATTCTTAATAATTGTATCCGTAAGAGCACTTAAAAAATGACAAGATTAGTTAGGGAGAAATATTTTTTCATTATTCAAAGGCTCACTTTGTCATACATAGAACATCAGCCGCTCTTCTAAAGATGAAGAGGAGCAGCTTTAGTTTGTGTTTCTGCTGAACTTTATATGTATATATATATATATGTATGTATATGTATATGTATACATATACATACATATACACACATACACATGCACATGCACGGCGGTCTGGATCTCCCTGGAGGTGATGGTGGAGCGCTTGTTGTAGTGAGCCAGGCGAGAGGCCTCCTCAGTTTGAGACTGCGATCAACTCAGCCGACACTTGGATTTTAGTGCACGTGTATGCTGATCTTTACGGTATTGAACAAGTAACGTGAAAAGTAACCGGAATAAAAGCGGTTTAATCAAATATTCTGGACAATGACTGGAGTATGTGTGTTCAGGACCATTCTGACTACTACTGTACAAAAAAATTAATACTTTCACTGTACAAAGTTACATAATTATCCTATATTTCAAGTTCAAAAGGACCATTTCTCAAGTTTGAACTGCAATAAAAATACTTTTCTCAATAATTCCAGTCAAAGACTAACATACATGTGTTAAGGACATATCTGACTACTATTGTAAGAAAAGTGAAATAATAATTTTACTGTAAAGATTTGGAGATTTCTTCAAAGTAAAAGCCCTACAACTGCATGTTAAAAAAGACCATATCTCCATATTTGAAATGCAATAAAAACATAAATCTCAATAATTCCAGGCCAGGACCAGTGTACTCATGTTAAGGACCTCTCTGACTACTACCATGATGAATTTGAAACATTTTTACTGTACAGATTTGAAGATTTCTCCAAAGTAAATGCCCTATAATTGCACATTCAAAAATACCGTATCTCCATTTTTGAAATGCAATAAAAACTGATTCATCAATAGTTCCAAGGCAATACATATGTACCTGTGTTAAGGACCTCTCTGACTACTACCATGCCGAATTGAAAACATTTTTACTGTACAGATTTGGAGATTTCTGCAAAGTAAAAGCCCTATTTCTGCAAGTTCAAAAACACCATTTCTCAAAATTTGAACTGCCATTTAAAGGAATTTATCAATAGTTCCAAGGCAGGACCAATGGACCTGTGTTAAGGACCTCTCTGACTACTACCATGCATTTGAATTTCTCAAAGTTTGAAATGCAATAAAAACAGATTTATCAATAATTCCAGACAGAAGCGTACGTTTATCCGTACGACACTTTCATGACAATAAATTTAGTGAATATTTTGTATTTACAAGTCAAAGATTCTCGAAAATAAACCTTTGTCTTACATTTATACATTCATGGACATCTTTGATCTTAGTAAAAAAATAAAATGACCTTTTAGTTGGTTAACAAACGTGAATCCTAATATGGGGGGTCTATTTGGGGGGGGGGGGGTCTACATCGTCAATTTGCCTGGTGGAGGTCACTGAGGTAGTCAAACAACTCTGCAGTGGCAAAGCCCCGAGGATTGATGAGATCCGTCCAGAGATGCTAAAAGCAATGGCTGTTGGGGGCTGTCTTTGATAACACGCCTCTTCAACAATGCCTGGAACTCTGGGACAATGCCAATTCGGGGGGGGGGGGGGGGCTCATTCTCTCGCACTTTTTTGGAGAACAATACCGCCGCTTCTCTTGTCTGTAGTGAATAACTAAAGGAAAAGCGTCTCTGAGATCTTAACGGGTTTGCTCTTAAAAGATAAGCTAGAAAGGGAGATTTTCCTATACACGTCGATATCGATACCCCGCCCCCCTTCATTCTTCGAGTTGCTTGTTTGAGAGCTTTGCTCACTGGTTTAGCCACCCCCC